GTGCATATTGAGTGTGCAAATTATACAGCCGAGCTCACAGTTAGCCCTTTTGCTCCTCTCCCCCCAACATATGCTGGATTTCTCTTGTGACAGTGAATAGGGTTACAAAAAAACAACCCGATTGATTCTGCACTGCGTTCAAAATGCTGTGTTCTGCATTACATTAGTGCTGATATTTAAATGGTGCTATCAAACCTAGCAAAGTCGTTAAAACACCAACATTTTAAAACTTAGAAGACAAGTCACATGCAACATGTGCCACTTGGGTGCAGGTTCTCAAATACTTACATATTTATAGGCTCATACAAGCACATCCTGTCCACAAGACAAGTACAATGTTTGACATCCCACACACAGATCAAAAAGTAAGATACACTCTGGAATATCTTATTTGCTTTTCTATTTTCAGTTTCAATAAGAAGGAAGTCATAAATAGCACACTGAATCGTGATGTGTTTGACACCAAGCCATGCTGAACTCTTCATAGTTCGCTCTCTTAGAGACATTTCCCTTACAACTAGATTAAAAATGGAAATACTTGGGTATCATCAGATGCCCGTTCACTGCAGGACATCACCAAATGAAACTGATCACAGAAGAGATTTTGCCAAAATACTTCTGACACCAAATGACACAATTGATTCTTCAGAGCTACCTTCCATTCTTTACTGAGCTATAAAGTGCTTGGTTACTACAAACAGAGCAAGAACATCAAAGGAGGTAGCTAGTAGAGATTTGTAATGGGTAACCTTACGAAGTGTTATCAACTCAAAGTATGATTTGATGCTTAATCCCAGAGCAATAAACATCCCAAGCAGCACATCTTCCATCTTCTCTACCATAAAGAGAACTTTCAGGTTGCTTGCAAAAAATCCTAAGACCTTCACCTGTCCAAAAAAAAAAAAAAAAGAGATTTTATCCAAGTTTGGATTTTCAGAAATATTGATGGCTAATTCCATTTGCCTGCTGTCAGGATCTCGGCAATGAAGTAGTGTTCTTTTTCCAGGCGTCAGATATATTCCACAGACAAAGTAACTCCACCAGGAGCAAATCCTCCCTCATCAAGTTCCTTGTAGCCAGATACGATGTTGTACAATAGGCTATTAACAAACTGAAAGGGCTGCTTGTGCTTTTCAAGGTCTTCTACACTTGCACTTTTCCATCTGACAACTCTAGCCCCTTTCTATTCGCTTTATCGATGGCTTTCACCAGCAGCCAACACAGCAACAGGTCCTAAGCTGGAGTAATGGTCAAGCAGCCCTTGATTTTCATCTGAATGGCTCAGCAGAAGCAACACAAAACATTTTGACAAACTTCTCTATTAAATGATCTTTTAGGGAACTCTTATGTACATAAAACAACACAAACCCACAAGAAAAGCCCTCTTCGTACAGCAACTCATGGTCTATTTTACACAGTCTGAAAACATTAAAGGACAACGGTTCATTTCCCACTGTGAGCAGAGAGATGGAAATACCCAAACCTTCCTGCTGCGCATCGGTCTGCTGTTGTGCCAACCACAGCAGTAGGAAGACACCTGGATCTCTATATTTGTGCTCACAAAGTCTCCTCCATTTCTCCTCTGTAAACCTGCTTGAACCCATTTGCTCCCTGGTGTGAGCTTCTACTCTTCACTTAACATTAGTTCTGCAGCCTGAGTAATCTTCTCCCAGGATATGCAAAGTAAAGCTGGAAGCCATCATCTTCCAGCCAGTGGAATTCACTTCATTTGTAATAAACCTTAATACAAAATTTGGAACTGTTAAGAATTCCTATATAAAATCAGCTCCCCTCATTTTCCTGTGCATAGGATATCTTTCATTAGTCAGAGTCTATTTGTTAGGCAATTAAGCTGTTAAATTATTGAGCTCACTCAAGACAGCATTTATTTATAGAGGTAGGATAGGCTCCAGAGATGTAACTCTTCCACTGAAGAATGCACACAGATAACCCCTGTAGTGTAAGGCCCTTAACTTCATGGACATCAACTAGAACACTCGCCAAGGAAATTAGTATTTGATGTACATTTCCTCTCTACAAGTATCCACGAATCAATTATGAAAGCAAAACTTGACCTACAACTCCACGGTAGTAATTCTGGAAGTGGCATTTACTCAGCTTTTGATGATAAAATAAAGCCATAAAAAAGGGGAACTTGCAGTCCTACATGCAGCCTTACCAGTACAGACTCTGTCATGATCGTCATGCTGATTTTACGTCACCTGGTACCCAAGAGTGTAAAAGAAAAGAAAACCAAGGTATCCAAGCATCTTTTACAAGAGGAACTCCTTCCTTTTGATATGTCCATCGCAAAGACACCTGGTGACACACCACAAGCTGCTTGTAGACAATGCAGCTATTAAAACAGAGAAGTTTTAAGCCATTAATAACATTACATTCTAAAGGTAGCATTTATTGTGATGCTACTTATCATGCATTTACTTTCTTGCATTAAAAAAAAAGCAAAGACGCACACTTGCAACATTAAGTTTCAGCAGTATTTCACCACAGCTTTTAAACTAATAAAGTGCAATTAAAAAATGGGTGCTGCACCTCTCTAATTTGCTGTATTATAAGCTTTGAACAGCAGGTAAAAAGCGCTCTGTACTCATGTATTCAGTACACAACTTTGTAGCCTGTTTACTACATTCCTTGCCAATACACAAGTGTTAAGAACTTCCTTCAATAGGAAGTTGTCTCCTGACACACAGTAGATGCATCAGGACAGAACTGCAATACATTTTAAAGGAAATTTAATCAAATGGAGGAGCTTTAGACCTAACAAGTTGCAAAATACTGCTTTCATTACACCAATTTTGTCCAGCAATCCAAAATACTACATGTTCTATAACATGTTATCCCTTGCCCTTCCATTCTGGATTGTTGCCCAAAGTATATTATATTGGGGTTTGGGTTGGTTGGGTTTTTTCAGTCTGGTTTTAACATAATCTTATTACAGCTTAATTTACATTAGTGTCTTATAAGGGAAAAGAAGTATCTAAAAGTGACGGAAATGGAGCATTTCAATGAATGTTCTCCATTGAAAACAAAGATACTGAAATATTAAAGATTATGCTAAGAAGGGATGAATTAATTTTTTTCATGAGTTACCACCTTAAGAGTTGCCCCAAATCACCTTACCCATGTTTTTCATCCTGCTTCCTGAATAATGGAAGCAGAAGGAACAAGCTAATACAAAACGATTCCTTCATCTAGTGACTTAAAAAGCACGAGAAAATGAAGTATTTCACATACACCTTTAAATCCTAAAGGTGACAGGAGCACAGAGCCCAGATTGTGCATCTCATACACTGAAGTCACTAGTTTAAAAGATACCAGGTTCTGCAAATCAGTGTAGAATGGAGTCTTTCTTTCAGCACAGCAGGTCACAGAATCTCAGACTATGGATTTACTGGTACCCAAACCCATTCAGCGCTCACTCGGATCATCCGGCTGAACACATTAATTGCTAACTTTTCCAAGGCATAAACAGCTCTATTGTCTGCAGGTTGCGAAGTATTCATAAGCCCAGAATCCAAACAACCAAGGGTAGTAACAACCCTCGATATCTCCCTTAACACTGGAAATGGTTTTGGAAGAAAGCCTGCCCAATTAAAGAGTGGAACTGGGCTTATAAAAGTGTGTATTATTTAGCCCAAACAGTACTCCCTAGCATCATTTAACTGGGGAACCACACTTACCACAGCTGCCTCGGTTAGAAGGCATTTCAGCCTACATAGTCCTCTTGGGGCCTTACAGCCATCCAGTTCCTGAAGGATGGAAACACTGAGAGCACAGGACTGGGGCAATCACACCTCTGACTACAGAGGGGAGAGTTCACATCACCCAGCTTTGTTACAGGGAACAGGACAAGAGGAAAACCAATGATCCTACACAGGGTAAATGCTTTACCTTTCTGTTTGAAAAGGAATTGCTGAAGCAGTCTGCTAAAGTAACTGGGTTGTGCACCGAGTGAAAATGTAGGCTTTCAGCACACCTTACCAGAAGGTGTAACAAGCAACATGTAAAAAAACCCCAACAAACACAGTACCCAACCAAGCACCACAGCAAGTTAAAAACCAGGAGTTAAATCAGTCCCAGTTCAGCTATGGTATAAAAGCAAGCAAACCAAAACCGAACTACACAGCAGTGCAGCTCTCAAAACCCTTTAAAACTCAAACAAACCCCAGAATTTCCTCAAAGTGTATTAGAAAATAGATTCAAGACTAGTCCCAGATGGTAAGATTCCTCTTTCATAGGCTCCAAACCTTTCAGTTTGCAGAAGAAGGAACAGAGTACCTACTGACAGATCTGCTTTACACAAGTCTGGCACAGTTAACTCAAGAACGCGTTTAGTCAACACCTCAGGCTATGATTAACAAGGAAAATGTGACAAAAACCTCAGTACTTCAGATCAAATGGGTCATCGTGGATCAGAATCCAAGGACTGCTGCAAATTACACATCACATCAACAGAAGAATTTTACCTCTTTACAATTAAACTTCGCTTCCAAATAGCCAGTGGTTACAAATACTCTATGGAGAGTTGCAACACTTCTCCAAGGTAGTAGCAGCAGCAAAGAAGAAATGTGTCAGAATGATGCTATTTCCACACCTCATTTACCATATTGACTGCCAAAACCAATTCCATGGGCAATTTAGAAGAGTTAGAATTGCATGTAATGTAACAGAGCAAAAGCGAACCCTTCCCATCAGAATCAGAGCATTAACGCTTCTTCAGCTATTCTCTAGTCTTATAATACAGCATTTTAGATCACTGTATCTCATACATTGCCCAAAATGGGTTGCATTCATATAAGGCAGAACAAAAAGCAGTAAAAGACTTCACAGAACCAAAGCTACAGTTTTAGGTTTTTCTGCAAAACTTAAAAAGTTGTCAAGACTGAAATCTTGATTGTTATTCCCAGAAGAAAACATAGAAACGTGCCAGGAAAATTGCACCATATCAGGAGTTTTGGAAGTTTCTGTTTCCTAAAAAAAAGAGAGAGAGATCTTGATATTCACTGGGTTTATAAAACACATTAATCTGAGAAACCTGAGTGAAACACTTCAAACACACTGGTGGACAACAAGCAAGTCACCAGTCTGCTCCTTTCTAACTTCAGCAGCCTGTAACTGCTTAGAACACACACATGGAACTCATTTGTGGGAGCTTTTGCTTTTATTCCTCACCGGACACGATCCATAAAGCGTGGCCCTGGGTGTGCAGGCAGTGTGGTTAGGGAAAGAGTAAGGTCAGTACAGAGGTAATACCTTGTTTTCTTAAGAGGATCATTCCATGGCAGAAATGTGCACTGTTTCAGTGAACCCAGATTACTTTCACAGCAGGAATTGCATTTTATGTGTGTGATTTCTAGTCAGATTTGCCATTTCTGTGAGTTTTGACTTCCTCCCGTCCGATAAGACAGATGACTCTGTAGCAACCTTTTGCAATTTTGACCATCCACATCACGTTCATAATATCCAAGACAACGCTTGAGATAATCCAGGCGCTTTGGGCTGCAAATCCTAATCTGTGGAAAGCCTCTGTTCCAAAGGAGGAAATGACATGGCTGTAATACACAGGCATGACGGCAATCCTCACCACGAAGAACACAACTGTCATCAGCAAACCATTGATGATGTTGGCCTTGGAAGATTTGGGATATCCCAGTATTTCAAAGAACCACCTGCAAAAGCAGCATTCACAGAGATGAGGCAGACTTGAAGCCATCTCATTAAAGAAGGATTTTATTTCGTTTTTTTAAGCAGTAAGTTATTAAATGCTTCCACCCTTATAATTTCTAAATTCTTACACTGTGTCTTGGCTTAATTGTAAATTCTTCCGCTTGGCTGAAGCCCACTTAAGCGGTAAGTGATAACTGGTATACTGCAGAATAACATAAAATCCCAACTGGAACCGGAAACCAGTTGACAACCAGCATCCTTTCAGTGCCGTTGTGTAATACACTTTATAATTTTAATTCAAAATGATAAATTTCGTATGAGACGTTTAGGGTAAATGATACAGATTACTTGATACTACATTTTGCACCAACGGGCAACTAAAAGTCTAATTTCCTCCCCCGAAAGCAATTCTAGCATTGTATTTGGATACAGTAATTTAGACAGTGCTCTAGTTTCCAGTTTCTCAGAGTTGGGATTGCTTCTGTTCCTCCCCACCAGTGTAAATGGCACTAAACCATGTCACAGCCAGGTATGTTATGAAAAGATAAAACTAAAAAGCCCCTCTCCTGCTACTACTACTGTAAATGGTCTTTAAAAAGTAATTACTGCATATAAATTCATTAGTAGACAGGCATGATTTATGTACTGCTTCACACACAGAACCCCTGCGTTGAACTCTATTAGGAAGAGGAATGCTTACACCAAAATAAACACAAGGAAAATCTGTGCAGCAGTGGCAGGTTAAAGATCAAAACAGAAGAAAATTCCTTAAATCACTGTATTCGTGATGGGAGATGGGGAGGAAAAGTGGAATAATCTGTTTATTTCCAAGGAGATATGAGGGTAAAACTATTTAACACAATACCAGTTCTAAAATGGATTTTGAAAGTAATTTTCAATTTAATTACCTACAGATTAATGCTTAGTATTAATTAGAGATATACTAGGTAATATATATGTTAGGTAATTAGAGATATACTAAAGAGAATTGCCAGACATCCAGCTCTAACAGAAGTAACCTGAAACAGTTAGAATCCAGGTACTCGAGGTGGCAGCCCAGCCTAGAAGCAGGATACCTCACCACAGAAACACTCACTGGGATGACGAGTAGAGAGAGCTGATATCTTTGGTCAGACTGCCAATTAGAGCCTGTACTTTCATTGATATCTACAATGCAGATTCCAAAAGCAATATAAAACCAGGGTTTAAAATACACTGCAATGGGACAGTGTAGAAGACTGGACATCTGCTTAGCAACTTCCTTCTCCCAGCAAATTCAGCTAAATACAAGTCAATAAATCACGTGTATCACTACAAGTTTACCCACAACAGTTAATACTTAATTACATAGATGCTGATACTAACATTACAAGATTTAAATGCTTGGCATGGAGACAACCTCCAATTAGAACTCCCTAACAACACAGACAGGAAATACATAGACAGTTCTGAGATTAGAGTATCTTTTTATACTTTAATAATAGCTCTTCTGGTAATCCTAAGAATGCAAACATGAAACATAATGGAAGCCATTATCATTATTCACTACTTTCTGCCTTGAGGGTCTGGTTCTCTTCAAATTTAATTAAAAAAAAACTGAAATAGTCACACAAAACCCCACCCAAAATAACCCCAAAAAACATTCCTGCACTAAGGAGATTATGTCCCTTAGCGCAAGAAACTATTATCACCTGCAGTGATTTCTGGTGTTCTGAGAAAGCAGTAAGAGCCCACATTCAAAGACACATGATCTCCTCCCAGGCATTAAAAAAGTATAATGCCTATTACTTTTAATAGCCAGACATACCACAGTGCTTCCTAACACAGCCTGAAAGATAAGCATTAGTACAGGTACCACTTCAACCCAGGATGTACTTCTGTCTCAGGGGAAGTCAGCTGGGACAACAGCCATTCACTCAGATATGAATGTCAATATAGAAACCTAGAATATAACACACCCTTTTTCATCTTCTTACTCTCCTCTTCCTTGTATTACTAAAAATAAGTTTAAAGAAGTTTACTTATTCCTCAGTTCTTCTGTGCACACGGAGCACAGACTACATTAGACTCTAATCTCTGACTCCACTCTGCTTGGGCAAACGGAAGCAACTTCTGGAGACCTCCGTTATCCCAACTTTCCCTCCTGCAACTTCAATTTGCCAAGCTTATGTTTGAAAGGGGTCTCAGCATAATCTTTTTTATTCTTAGAAATCCAAGGAATGATGCAGTCTCATCAAATATTTTGGGGCTTACAGTCATAATGCAGTGATGGGTAATACTCAAAATACCCTGTCTGCAGGAGGACTACAGTCCCTCTTTGCCTTACATTATCCTTTCTCTACCAGATGCCTGGAAAAGAAAACAGATGGCACACACGTACAGAAGTTATGGGAGAGAAGGACAGCACTGCCCTATACCAAAGCCCCTCTCCTGAGGTGAGGTTTTCCTGGGGCAATCCCTGTACGAAGCTGGATCACAGCAGCTGTGGCACAGGAGAGAGGTCACCTTCCCCGGAGCATTGCAAAACTCTCCTGCTTCCTTTGCCTGTGGTACAGGGCATCATTGTGCTCCCTTTCTGATACCCACAGCAACAATTCTAGTAGCAACACTATGTTCAGAAGCCATGGCAGGCTTCAACTCATTGAGCTCTGCAAAATGGCTTCTGCCACTTCCTTCTTTGAACACAAGTATGAAGATTAACCAGGTATATTTAGGTGCTTTATTATTTTTCTAGTTTAAGTCCTCAAATTAATATCCAGATCTATTTTTGAAAGCAAATAAAGAATATGCACTTATATTATTCTATGTATTCATATATTAATACCGATCTATACGTGTGCAGCACTGCAAAATAAACTTCCAGTTATGTAGGACAATGCAAATCCATTCTAGGATCCTGATGGTGTTATCTTTTCCTAATCCACAATACTAAAAAAATCCCTATTGAAAATGATGGCTTTATTAGAATAATTAAATGAACATAAAAGGGATAATGAACAATATTATGTTTATCAGGTTTTCTGTTCAGTAGCTTCATTTTAAAATGGCATTAGATATGAAGATTGGTCTACTCTAAAAAGGACCTCGGATGAATACATTAGTTGCATTGCTGCAGCTATAGCAGCAAAAAAGGTTTTCACATAGTAATCCTTAGTTTATATATATATTTACAAATACAATATATATAAATTCCCGTTTGACAACAGAAAAGACTTCCCAAGTGACAGAAATCATGATACAAATTAAGTTGTAAAGTAATGATGCAAACATTCCCTGAGCACTTACCGCTGATTGACAAAAGGAGTGGAGAACTCTGCGAGCAGACGGAAGTTTCCAAAGTAAGCCAGCAGACCTTTGCTCTGGTTAGCAAAACAAAGCAGACATTGAAACATCAACAGCGGAGATGTGAAACCTTGATTACAGCCTTCAAGTACACACAGACTGACACAGCGTCTCAACTTCTTTATTAAAACAATAGCAAACAAGTTCACCAGCTCTAGGCTACTTCCTCCCAGCTTCAAAGTAAGGTTTACCTCCAAAGCTGCAATCGTCCCTTCAGGTAGCTCAAATCAGTACTGTTTAAATTAAGAAGCTTACAGTTAAGTGGCCATGGAAAGTAGCAACACAAGACTGGCACAAGTTAGGTTAGAATTATAATAATGCTATTACTAAGAGAATTATGAAGATTTGGGGTTTCTCAATGTTTAAACAAGCCCAAAAATAAACACCGTAAGCTAAAGAAAGGTGTCTCTGCATTGGTTTAAGAACATAATTCACCCAGTGAAGATGAATTCCCAGCTCTTATTTGGCAGCAGAAAGGGCACATAAAGCCTTTTCTTGCCTCTGACACGCTGCAGGGGAAACCCTTTCCAGCAGTTGTGTCACAGCCCCAGCCATGCCCTGTGAGTTGGAAGATGATCACATCTCCTCCGTGGCAGCATCCATACGACTGCGTGGCACATTCACATTGATACATGTTGCAACTGAGCACTTTCCTCCAAGTGACAAAGTACAGCATATTCTCTGCCTTATCGTTTGGTTGTGTTCCATTACACAATGGCTAGGCCAGCAGCAGATGTAGAGATAAAAAGACTTTTAAAACATTTTCATAGGCTTCATGAACAATCTATGTAGTGCGTGTCAGGATTCCCCTTTTCCCCATCAAACACATTTGTACCCGCTACTTCAGTGATTTCACGGCAGTTCACACTACACCAAACAGAGAATCTCTGCTCTTCATCAAATTCTTTCCTATCTTTAAGAGCTGTATTTTAAATAAGATACTTAGGAGTAACTTTCTCTGAAGATAAGAGAATGAGAGTAATACACAGACATCCAAGGGCAGAGCTACAGCCAAATAATAAGAACTGATTTAAATGAAGCTCCCACAAAGTAGACTTTGTTTAGTCCAGAAACAACTAATGATTTTCCTGCATCAGGGATTAGCCTTGCTACTGGTATTTTCATTTCTCTAATCTTCAGTTCTAATTCACTTTCATCCATGATAACATTAGAAGATCCAATTATCTTCAGCCCGAAACAGAGCATTTACTTCTCAGTATACTTCATCCCCATTATGTGGGCAATCTGACAGTAATCTGGTACCTCAACACTTTCAGCACTGTAAGGCTGGGATTCACACAGTAGGCAGGCAAAGAAATGTGGTAAATGAAGTAAAATGCATTTTGTAAGATTTCTTTTTTACTGCATAAGCTTTACAGAAGGAATTCAGGAGCATTATTCTAGAGGTCAATGGGACTTCTATGAAGTCACATGGGCAGCTTTGAGAACTTCCAGCAGCAGCAGGGAATAACGAAGTGAGGTTTTATCCTAGGACAGTATCCTTCTCTTCCCGTTTTCCCTTCAGTGTATGTATGTGACAGATATTTATAGATAGACACAGTTAATCATCCACTGTTTCACCACCAAAGTAACCGTAAAGAAAAAAGCCCATGCAGCTGATTGTAGCACATCCTGCACCAGGATTATGGATCACTGACCAATGGCCTTGCAATACAATCACAAGCAGAACATAACCCCTTGGAATCATTTCCTTCCAATTCTTCAACTAACTTCATACTTGGGGGTTTGTCTGAAAGCCTTTTCTACAACCATTTGAAAAGGCCCTCTGTCAAAAGTCCCTCTACAGCAAAAACCGAGTAGAGTTTTAAGCTCAGCTGTCAAATAAGTTACACATTTGCACTGAAGGACTCTAATAGTGAAATATTACACATGTACCACAAATGACTGATAAAACCATTTAGAAAGTAACAGTGACTGTAAACAGAAATACACCTTTCACAAAGCTAAAGCACCAACCAATGAAGAACTTCATAAACATTAAGCAAATGAGATCTCTAAATTGTCTTCAATGCCACCTGCTTGTTATGTGACTGGAAAAATACAGCACTCACCAGTACAAAATAGTAAGCATACAGAGCTGCCAAGTGATGTATTACAAAATACTTGTCACCAATTGCCTTCCAGTAGTAAAGAATAAGCAACAAATCTATAAGAGAAAAGAAATAACGATAAAGAACAATTTATTATATTACCTTTTACCTCGCAATAGCTTTAGAGGTGTAAAGGCCAACAGAGGTTATCAGTAGAAACTCTCTATCTCAGAAGAGAAAAACCTTTATTCTGAGGCTCAACTTTAGTCAAAGCATTAAGCAACAGTTTTCTTCCAACAGTTGCTATAAATTACAACTTTCCACTTCAATTAGAAGTGCAGAGGCTGAAATATCTTGGAAGAAAAAAGTGCATTCAGACTCTTGGAGCAAGACCTCACACTTCTGAACCCAAAGATTTGGAAGAAGTGAAAAAACAACCAAAACCAGAGGGGATGGGGGCTACAGCAGGCATAGCCATATACAAATACATGCAGGGATCTATTACAGGGCACTTGTGAATCAAAAAGGAGTTATATTAGCTAACAGTGAACCATTTACTAAAAATATTTTGCCAGGGACACTTGGAATGAGAAGCATGTTTGCTTTCTTTAATCAGAACTTTCCATTTACTGCAGCAGTGATGCAGTGGGCCTGAGTTAATGCTTTGACAGAAGCATTCTTTCTTCTCCCATGATGGTCTAAGATTTCAGAAGATTTTTGTACTGGAATAAGCAATTTCTGACACCCCCCCCCCCTTGCTCCAAATGAGTACTTTAAACTGGAATATTAGTGACCAAGGTTTCCAGTCAAAGACTTTACTCTTGTGCCTTTTGTATGTCCAACTAGAGTCTTGATCTCTTTTGTATTAGCTACCTTCAGGCAGGACTATATATATCACCTGACATGGCTGCTCCACTTCCTATTAATAATTAAACATTAACTATACAAGGAAGTGAGAGAGAATGAGTGGCCAGGCTCAGGTCTCTGTTCAAAGGCATTCATTAATTCATCATGAAATTCTAATGCATAATTATTCAGAAATAGATACCAATGAATTTAAACATGAAAGCTGAAGTTCTTATGGAAAAAAACAGAGACTTAAACTAACCCACAGATTAACAGAGGGTGCCAATCACCAGACTATCTCCAGTGGGGTGAGAAAACTAGTCTGGGAGATAGTGAAGTCCAATCTCTGACCAGACTCTGTCCTAACATGAGTACCTTTCCCTGAAAATAGCCCAAGCCACACCAAGTTCTTGCTCTGATAAGTCAGTATTATCTCCACACACCATAAAAGAAAGCTCCCAAGCAATTTGCAGCAAAATTTCCATAGCAGTTTTAGTTGACAGTAAATAATTAAGGACACATATATGGGATAAAATGCCATTTCAAGAAAATAATGAAAATTGCCCCATTGTATATGACTAAATTTTGGCTTAAAGGGAGACTAAGAGGTAGGCAGGCAGGATCCTATGGCATCATTTGCCTCAGCTTGTACTGAAGGCTATTAAAATCCTTCTGCCAGCATTCTGAGCTCATAGGAAGAAACATATGACAATAGAGCCACAAGCTGTAGCCGCCCCAAGGGAGCGAAGGGCACTGCTTTAACACCTTCTCAGCTGGCTGAAGGACAAATCTGAGCTGGAGTTGGTGGTTGTGTAGCAAACCATCATGAAGCCACACAGTGGCACTTCCTCCGTACTTGGGGAGATGATATTTCATCTTCCACATCCACTGGCAAGATCCTGTCATTCCACCACAACCCACAACTCCATTAGGAATTCTAAAAGGCACAGGAGAAACTGCATTGTATACACATGTCACATCCCTGGCACAGTGACTCAGTATAAATATATAGGCATAGTGACTCAATGTAAATATGCAGGTTCTGTGTGTTATATACACATTGCATAATTACCAGAAATGAGGTAGCCTGTGGTAATAGCAATATTCAGTTTCACAATTGAAGGGTCACCCCTGCAAACATACCAAAAATACATAGTTATACCCTTTGTAACAAGGCAATTTGCAAAGGATATACATATACCAAACACATAATGTCTATCAGGTCACCTTATTCTTAGCCCATCAGCAAGATGTTTCAAGATTTGGTTAAGAAAGGTCCTAGTTATGTAAATGGATTCCTTTTTCACCCACCTATAAGTCATCTACTAACTACCTTCACCAGGAATACCCCCTGCCTTGGGGCAGAGAATGCCCCAAGAGCCTTGCTAGAGTCTAGAACTGGAACAGAGCACATACCCTTAGCTGGCTTCTCTGAAAAGAGGATAAAAGAGAACACTGCATCTCCATTTTTGTTCTTCTGCCAGTGTTAAAACTTTGTTAAGGATGACAAAAATATCTTGCTCAGCTGGTACTTTTCATATTCATAAGAGGATGGATACTTACAGGGATAAACAGAGTAGGAGGAGACATGAAAGGAATTATTTGCCAGTTCTCTGAAACCAAGGAACCTTTGAGAAGAAAGGCTTTCCAGAGCAGTTTCACACCTTCTGTCCCTTCCCTTCTGATGCCAAACATTCAGCAGGCATTCAGTAGCATACAGACAACTTCAGGTCCTCAAGGATGTTCAACAAACCCAAACTTGTGAATACACCTCAAGAAAGGGAATCATCCACATTACAGCACTTATCCTTTCCTCCACCATCCTTTGTATGGCCACATTTTGAGTTTGGTAAGCAAATCTCTTTTCCTTAGCATAAAGATCATAACATGTTTTTAACTAAGTAAGCTTGTTTGTGTAAGTATGAATTGAGGTTCAAGTGACAGCTCTAGAGATTTACCCAACATTGACTGCACAAGACAAGCTGTGAAAGAAAGTTTTGCTGTAAACCTTTTGAGATAAAAGGAACACAACTCTGCTTATAGCACCTCCAACACAAAGTCTCCCTCAGCTAGAAAACAGTAAAACGCTATTACTTAGCCTTTATTTTTTAATCCTATTGGAATGAAGCAGTGGAAGAGATTTCCTGTATTACTACAATCTGTTCACTAAATTTTAAGGCCTTCTCAGCATCTAACACTAACTGCTTCCCTGAGGGAGAGGGAAGCTTACAGGAAAACAGGATTTGCAAAACCTCATTTCTGCTATTAGATGCGAAAAAAAAACATGACTAGGAGAGCCTGGAGCTCACTCAAGCCCTTAAGAATGGAGCCATAGAAGCTCTCTTAACTACAACTTGAAACGGGGACATTTTTCCACGGCTTCAAAACCTGGTTTTGTGGCCTATGTAGGTTGAAGGCCGAGTGCTTCTTTTGGTGTACATCTTCTGAAAGTCACAGCTAGACACAGAGCATAAACAGATGTTTTCTCACACGCTGAGGCTCTTGAGAAAGTTACAGCCCTCCCATTAGAGCTCTATCATCACACCCAAACTTGTAAGTGCTCCCAACACACTTCGGTAAATCATCACCAAGATTGAGCCTGCTCTGAAGAACCTTCATATTATTCTCTGGAACAGATGCAAAGGATTGAATGTATGCTTGTTCCATGGTATTGGTAAATGTGACTTAACTGGATGAGACATTCACTTCCCTCCGTTCTTTCCTTGAGAATGGTCACCTTGCAACAAACCTTCTATGGACTTTCTAAACCAGCACTTCAGCAACATATAAGGCTGCACTGCCCATCTGTCATATCCCTTCAAGAAGAGTTCATGTTAGAATTCCAGATTAAGATTAATTAATGGGAAACTCAGAATTTAGCCTACAGTCTTCTAGATTTCCTAACCTGTTTCCTTGAATGGGAAGTGCAATGGAGCTTACAAGCCCTGGTGTTTGCAGCCTAGTTTTGAAGCAAGCAAGAATGAGGAATGGCAAACAGGGAGTTATCTGAATAAGTGAAAGGGAAGAGCTCTCTCTTTTGTCATTGCTAAGGAGGTACGTGTGGCAAATGAACTACACATGAACATGCACAGGCAGATAGAACAAACAGAAGCCCACATGACTATCTTCAAACTTCTTTGCAGATAGAGTCATATAAAACACTAATCAAAGAGTAATGACTATCAAGTGGACAGCTGTATGAAGAAACCTGTTCTGTGAAGCTCCAATTAGCTCTCACTTATTTACAAATTCTCCTTTTCCCTATCTGATCTCTAACAGAGATCACTCACTTTCTACTCTGTTATTCTCACCACCTCAAAAAGAATTTCTATGTCATCTTTGTTAGGTAGTCTGTATTACATAGAGAGAAAAAGCAAAGTGTTCTACAAAGTCCTAGAGCATCAAAAAAGATACACATACACTATGCTGATGCTTCCCTCCAATTTATCAGTGCTCCAGTCTCTATTATCCTTTGTTAGCATCTATCAGACCTAGATTCAGGCATTACCTGACAGTAATACCGCATGTCTCCGCTGAACCCAAACGCTCAGCAGGAGTCCTGATCCCTTTCAGGACATACAGGTATCATAGGCATCATGCGTTTAAGCTTCACACGAAGCCAGAATTTAGGTTGACATACATAGAGGCTCAGAACTTGTCATTTGCCATTATAGACAGAGGTATCTTTAAATCCCACAGAAAAGAGCTGACTGGATACTGTTCAGTCAATGACTACACAAGGATGGTGGCAATTGTGAGAGAGAAAGAGTGTCTGTATCAAAACCTTCCCAGTAGTCTAAAATCAGAGCATCTGCGTAATATTTTCAGGCTTCCTGAGCCAGAACAGTGCAAGAAAGCTACATGAAGGATTCCTGGACATTTACTTAGAAACTGCTAAAACCAGATGCAAAAATATGTCTTGTATTGTTAATAAGAGACTCCTACAGAAAGCCTTATGCATCCTTCATATCTGTAAATGACTAAGTCCTATAGCTTATGCTTGCACTGCAAAAGGACATTAGTTTTCCAGACTGAGCAGCCCTGCAAGAGGCCATCTGGCACTTCCCATATAACTTGGTGGTTTTCCTCTTCAGTCTTATTCAATTAAAATCAAGACTAAGAGTAATATAAAAAGTCAGCCTTAGAAGAAGATGCACATCTGCAAATTCTGACTTCACTGGTAGGAGAAAGCCTAATGCAAAGGTGTATTTCACTCACAGACTGCATGTAAGTATTTGTCAAGCCATGGGCAGTATTCTCTTTGGTCTTCCTTTACACTTAATCACTTGCACGAACATGAATTCAAATCATTGCAACTGTTTTAAGTACACTGATACTTCACACAGTTTAGAATTACTAGCTTAATAACTGAGACCACTGATTCCCACATCTGGAGTATGTTCTGTGCACTTTCAGTTGACAAGACCCTGACACCACTAAGATAATTTTGACCAGGCAACAGTGTACAGAAATACTGCCATGAAATGAACCCAAAGCTCTCATTTAAAACACACAGATTTGATACACTTCCACTGGATTTTAATATATAAAGTTTTCCTTACTCTACCAAATGCAAATAACACCACTGACAGCAATCACTGTAAACAGATCCAAACAGAAGAAACTATTCAGAAGCAATATTGAAATAAAGGGGATTGATTTCTGATTAATTTGATTTTTTCCTGGAAATACACCAGGATGATTTAGTAAATGCAAAGATTCAACTTATTTATCATCACTAAGAGGCTTTTATTTCGGCTTTCATGACTTCCTTTGCACTATTTAGAACAAGTTCTACTCAAAGAAAGCAGAATAAAAGCTTCTATCTAATAAACCTTACCACATGAGACACACGAGAGATGTCATAATAACATGCTGCTTTCCAACATGATTAACAGATCTCATAAGATATCCAGACTGTACTTTGTCTCACTAAAGACACCAGAATGCAGTGACAAAAAATCCAAAACAGGCAACCATTTAATCATCTATTACTACATATAGAAAAGGCCAGTGTTACAATTACTGCATATTTTAATGGGATCTTAATTATTTCAGTAATGAACATACTCAGTTATGTTACTTCATTGTATAAACACAAGATATATGTAACACTCCTTACCAGAGACGGTCAGCATTAACGGCGTCATCGTATACCAAAATATAGAGGCAAAAGCCACCAACCACCAAGGCATGGAATGTGGACACTGTCCTAAAAAAGAGATTACAGTCACAAGAAGGTACTGCCACTCACAACTGTCTATACTGTGCTTAAGCTCTCAGCTGCATCCATATACCTCTGTGAAAGTCAATCACCTCTTCTTTACGGTACATCCAACTGCAATACAATGAGAGGTGGGAAAAACAGTCAAAAAGAAGGAACCTATTAGACTGGAGCAAGGGGCCTCTTAAACAAAACACAAGGTCTTAAAGTAACAGATCTTCATTTTCCCCTATACGAATGAATCCTTAAAGACATCCAGTTCTCTAACAAATACTTGCTGTGTTGTCCCATTTTGCTGGCAAATCTGTATGCAATCCACACTGACACTGGCCCACGAGTCCTGCAGCAAATTTCTCCTTTCAGGCACCAAATTAATAAGATGACCCACAACAAATCTGCCAAGTGAAGGTTTTGAAAAGAGGGGCATTCAATGAAAAACTTATCAAGGTAAGCATCGGAATTTCAAGTGCATTTTGAGTAGATTCTGGCTGTCAAAGAGAAAACTTGCATAACAAAAGGTTGTAGCTGAGTATCTGAGGTGTAACAGCTACAAGTTCATATGAAGGAGCAGCTCACTTTGCTTTATTTACACTCCTCTTAAAGCTTTGCTTTATTTACACTCCTCTTGTCCTATATAAAGTCACAATAATCAGAGTTGCCTTGGGTACTACACACTTCCCCCTCCCCATCCAAATGACACCAGTCTCAAGTATACAGGGTGCATGCACACTGTAGATAAACTCTGAATGTTAACAAGCACTTAAAAAGAGCTACCTATTTACAGAGGCCCTGACAGGGTTTCTGCCAGCACACAGGACACGGTCATTCCTGCCCTTTGGAGTCCACATGTATTCTTGGAAGGCAGAACAATGCAATGGGCATGGGTTCAAAACATGTCACCTTGTTCCTCTAGCCATGGGTTTAACACTGCTAGAAACTGCATTTAATCCTGTGTAGCTGCTGTTTGCTCTCCCAGTTCTCAAGTGTGACTAGGAAGGAAAAAAAAATGTGCTAAAATAGCTCTACTGAATCATGGATAGCCTTTAAAGATGAGAACTCCAAGTTTGATGCTGTGTCATCAGAAACATCTTTGCACCGTATTCACAGCACGAAAAATAGGCACACAAATACAGAGATGCTGTTAGTTATTAGTTTTGTCTTTGTACATATTAAATACATGTATTTGGAAGTCATTCATATTTTAAATGTGCATAGATCACTCTCAGGAGTTTCAACTCCACCATGCAAGATTTGAGAAAACCATCTTACTCCCTCTGGAAGACTTTGCAAAGACAAAGTAGGTTGCAAATAAGGGTGATGTTCTCCTTAATGTGCTTAACATGAAGTTTAGTTAGTTGTGAATGCTGTGCGTTCATAAGAGAAGTCTCTATTTATGATTTGTTTAAAGAGTATCATCATGTTATTCTCAGCACTTTTTCAACAGTGTTCCAAAAAAATTAATGCAGATTTATGCAAGCTGAATAGTCAAATGTAACAAGCTGGAGGAGAACATTTACTAACCACTAGCCACAGGCTGCTTTTGGGTTAAATCTTTTTATCTATTTAATAAACAGAGAAAATTTAAGTTATCAGGATTAAGACATCTGCTCTTACAACACAGAGTTAGCAGAGAGCTAGGAACTTTGCTTTGTCTTTAAAACAAAGCATGGCACATAGTATTAGCATTTGAGAAATGCCTGGTTGTTTTGAACCTGAGGAGAAGATAATGGTGAAAGAAGTAAAATTTGTCTTAGAATATATAGATCAGTTGCAATTTGTCTCAGGAGTGGCTCTTTGTCCAAACCTTAGTGTTTGGAATGCAAGCTATACACAAGCACAGCACACGGAGGGGGAGAGGATTAAAAAAAAAAAAAAAAAAATCAAAAGGAAGAAAGAAGCAGATTGCCTCCAACTCTGGACTTCGAAATTGCTATAGAAGAAGGGGCAGAAGGAGGGAAATAGTGCAACACTTCATTTTAATATGGAATCTAGGTCAGTCTGTCAAGCTCCACACAGTTCTTTGAGAATCTGCCAAAGCTTGTATCCTTTAACTCCTCATTAAACTGCAAAGAAACAAATTGCACTGGTAAGTTGCATACTTATTCCTTTGTTACTGAAGCTACACATACTTACCAACTGCTTAATAGCAGTACAATCATGTATTAGCAGAATAAGTGACAGGAATTTATGCACAATAAAATAAAGAGTTCTATTACATTTGTGTCAAAGTCCATTTTTTTACTCAATTTGAGCATCTGCATACTTAATATTCCAGAAGCAATTACATTATTGGTTCTTAATTCTTGGAAGGTCAGAATGAACAAATTGGCAGCATGGAAAACACAGTCCAGAGCTGCAGTTCCAATGTTTGATTACAAAACCCTCCAAACTGTAACAATGCATTTTCAATGCTGCGGCTCATTTCAGGCAGCTGAGCTGATAAAAATGCATAACCATCCTCTGTGTCAGTTCTGTTGGCAGTTTCCTTCAGGCCTGCCAACAGAACCATTTGTGTGAGTGCTCCCTACACCAGTTCAATATAGGACAAAATAACAACCATCTGCTTTTAAATCATTTAAGCTAACCCAACTCACTTTACTGGGAGATAGTAACTTTCTCTACCTGCACAGCTGTCTGCAGAATGCATATACGGCCATCTACATCCGCTGAATTTGTAAGATACCCCTTGGGATGCCCCTTTGTTTTGGTGAAACACTGCAGCGTTGAGGCAGTTTGACAGAACATTGGTTAGCAGAGTTAAGAGTCAGTCTTACGTAGAAAGGCAAGCACAGTTAGCCTTTCTTTCACTTTCCTCAGGTGTAACATCCACAAGCTGCTGATGAATGATACGTTGTGTGTCATGCCTTCTAACTCCAGAACTGGATGCAGCACTGGACCGCAACTCATTTATGTGCTAACATCTACATCCTGCTATCAACCCTAAGAAAAAACTTGGAAAGAAGTAAAAAAAGGTGCTGTATCAACTTGAACAGCTCACTACAAAATAGCCCAGAGATTACAGAGCAGGTTATTTCCAGCAAACCTGCTATATGTGAGACAATTCACATGTTATTATGCAAAGCTGTTACAACAGCTACGAGGCATGGAATAAGTTCTCAGAAAGCCTATTATGTAATTCTATGGTCACTTGATGTGGCTTAGAGACAAAAGTTCAGCTCCAGCATGATAACAGTTTAGTTTAGCTTCCCTGTCTGCCTCCATTGTCAGTTGTAACATAGAGATAAACCTAACCTGCACTGATATGAACTGGCATCCTACAGCGTTGTTCTGGCAGATAGGTAGTCATAGATCAAACTGAAATTAAGGTGGTGCCTTTAAGAACACTGCAGGTGGACATTTGCCAAATGGAAAGGCAAGACTATTTGAGTTGCTAATGCTGCCTAGCACAATGGAAACAACTTTAGAAGCATCCACCTGATGCTGCCTTTAAATAGCGCTGAGGAGGAACAGTGCTGCAACAAATGCATTTTGAGTGCAGCAACAATCACATAGCACAGTTTTGAGCTTCAAACTGGAGAAAAACCTGCAAAATATTTTAGAGTTACAATAGGCTACTCAAGCATAAAGTTATACTCTATCAATTCATTTCATCCAATGAAGCTTGTATACTATACAGAATCACAGAATGGTTAGGGTTGGAACTAGATGATCATAAGGTTCTTTCCAACCACCACTACATACCCTTTCAAATATATTACAAATAAAACTCATTTTACTATATTTCCTTTATGGCTCAAAAAGGCAGGAAAGCACCCCGAATCACAGGGTTAAACATACATAGGGGATTCAGATGTTGACAATTCCAGGCAGGTCATTAGCTGGATTTTGTTTTGAACACTCTTACCTTGAATTCCATTCGATCTTCCTTTTCTGGCTGAGATTGTTAAAACCAGGTGTTATTCGTGTTGACACCCAAGAACTTAAAACATGGAACAGGAACTGAAATACAGTAAAACTGGCAACAATAATGCCAATAATCAGGTTGCTGAAGGAAGCCATTTTTCTTCAGCCTGTGAAGAGAAGAAGGTGGCAATTTAGAACCACAGACTGGTTTGGGTTGGAAAGGACCTTAAGATCATCCAGTTCCAACCCCCCTACCACAGGCAGGGACACCTCACCCTAGGCCATGTTGCCCAAAGCCGTGTCCAACCTAGCCATTTAAGTGCATTCTGCATTGAACTATTTTAAGCAGCCACAGAAAGTGGTTTTGACAGCTAACTTCTCAACAGAAATACTGCTCACTAAAAGTTTCATCTTGCTCAACATTTCCACTTAAGCCTTAGTAGTTTAAGGTATCCCCAAACTTACACGTACTACACATTTTCATTGCTTATGGTTGTGTGCATTTTATCTACACAGAAAGGGCAGGAGAACCACTGACCAGTGCAGCCACTAGCTCAAAAGCTTCCACTCCTGTCCCAAGATGCTCCAGAGTTAAAACTAATCTTGTTCTTAACCAGACTGACTGCTGCCAATAGGGTGTTAAAGGCAACAATGAAATTGGGTAACTGCTGTAGTAGAGAGATTCTCAGGTCAGCCTCAGGAAGCAACAGCCTTACTGCAGCTTTATGTTTGTACACTTTAGGGAGACAGCAGTTCTCAATTTGCACTCTGTTCACAGATCAGCACATAGGCTATTGCATTTGAACTTCTTTTTTCTTCATGTGAAAGTCTGAACTTCACACTATTTCAGAGCACACCAAGAAGTTTCCTATGATCAGAGGTAACACACTTCTCAGGTGGTGGGTGTTTAGACCTTCCATGAGGTCTAAAACAATAGCGAATCAACTCCAAAGGTAAATGTCAAGCCTCTAAATACTTCAGTCATTCCTCCCAAGTCACCAACATTTTGCAACACATAAGCCACAAATTTCTGCCATAAAAATCATAAAATCCCAGGCTGGCTTGGGCTGGAAAGGACCTTAAGATCATCCAGTTCCACCCCCCTGCCATGGGCAGGGATGCCTCACCCTTGACCACATCACCCAAGGCTCTGCCCAGCCTAGCCTTGACATATATATGTAGTTGGATGGTGTCGTGGAGTGTTTTATATTCCCAGACTGACAAAGATTACAAACTCATAAAAAGTCAATTTGTATGAAGCTGAACAGAAAAGGGGGAAAAAGGCAAATGGCTTCATTTAAAATACTTAAATAATGATTTTAATAGCTCTTATGCTGTCACTTGTAGTAGTTATACCAAAGAAAATACCTAAAAATAACATGAAGACTTATGCTGGCATAATTTGATGGTACTACAACAACCTAATGGTCAGCAAAAACTGATACAATTACACAATGCACTTACAGTTCCCATGCATTAGAGACTGAGGGAACACGCCTTAGAGTTTTGAAGTTATATCTGCATTGCAGATAGAAAGAAACTTTAGGTTGGGGAGGGCAGAGCAGAAAGAGAAGCCCACCACTTGGAATAATAACTTTTCAAAGCATTAATTACGGTATTCTCACTTGTTGGTGTAAATGGTGAGTATATTGAAACACAGGTTCCATTTAAACTTAGAACTTTAATGAAATGTGTATTACACACAGGCCAGGGAACAACGTAGTTTTGTCTTCAAAGATCTAGAAGCAGAAGGTTCATTGATCTCAAACTTTTCTTCCCCTCCTCCTCTTTCTTTTCTCCCCCCAAAACTGAAGAGTAAAACCAGAAAGTGAATTACCTGACTCTGACTGGTACCCACAGTAAAAGCTACAGCTACATAAGCAGAATGCAGGGCAAATAAGAGCAGATTTGCTGAGTGAAACCTGCATCCAGATCAGGGATTTCAAGTGTTTGCTTCAGACCAGCTTTAATCCTGTTCTAAGGACTCTGCAGTGGTTAGACTGTATTTAATGTGCTATTCCTGCTCAGTATAACCCAAAAGGCACCCAGCTGGCATGATCTGGGACAGCTATGCATCATAGACTGAAGGGCCGTAAGCAGGGTGGGATCACAAGATTCAGTTCCCAAGTGCATTTTACTTACTCCAAACTCAAAGTTTAATGTATACATGCTGCAATGCATTGCAACAAACTTGCGCTCATTCCAGTTGTTTATCTGATGGCCTGTTCTAGTTCAGCAGCATACATCCTATAGCACACTCTTTAATGCTAGCCTATTAAAACTTCCAGTCCGTCATGGTTTAAGCCCAGCCAACTCTACCCCAGCCAAAACCAAGACAATTTCAAACACCATACTGAATGTATACTATACATCCACTGTTCTCTCAAGTACTTTTTACTTTTCTCTGCATACTTTTCCATTTGCCTCCACTGATCAAGAAGATACAAAATACAACTCAAATTTGATGCCCTTTTTGACACAGTCTAAAGTACTGGAGACAATGGGTGTTAAAGTTGATTTTCTACAACTTTTCTATCTGAAGGAATAAAACAATTAATTAAAACTCTTAATCTCCCAGTTTAAACCTACTGATAAAACACTGTGGGGTGTCCATTCCAGAATCTGCTCCTAGGGACAACACTTCATTGTTACATCATCTCATCTGTAGTAAGCAAGTCCTCTCTTGGACTGTGCAAGTTAAAAAAAAACCCAGCTGGTTTCATTCCTAAAGGAGGAAACCAAAACAAATGTGGAAGACAATTCTCTTCAGAAACACAGCAAAACATCAACCACACCTGCTTCATCCTTTTGACTAGAACACAGCAATTCTCATGATGCTACCCATTCTATTCACCTGCAGTGACTATACTGGTACCTCTGAGCTTCAAAGCCACTGACTTAATCTCTTGAACAAAAGAGCCCTATGTTTTGTTTTGTCTCCTTAGTACCTGAAGATTTTATTAGATAAGTAATGTGTCAGGGTGTGACAGGTTTTCATTTTAGTACAGCAGATTATGGAATTAAACAGAAAACCACCCAATCACCCCTTGCAAGAAATGCATTAGAAAACCTCATCTTTTTACTCGGGAGCGTGTACAGGGAATTCATTTTAAGGAAAAGCACTTGTGTGGACATTGCTCGATCTGTCTTCCAGAAGTATCATACTCCTGTACCTCTCAGAAGTCTCAGCAGCAAGTACAGAACTGTGATGCCCACAGAGGAGAAAGGTATGATGGTAGCAGAGAAGAAACTAGTCACGTGGCCTCTGTGGCTGGTCTCACAGATACTCATAAGCACTTTTGCAAGACTGATTTCAGAAGGTGATTTCATACATGTTTATCAGGATGACGCTTAAATACATTACATACCAAGTCCAAGAATGTCATGCTTTACCTAGGCAAATTTAGAGTGCTGTGTTTTCATTCAATACAAGGACCAGGTGTAAACACACTACTTCAAGTGAGATGGAAGAACAGCTCAGCTGTAAATGCTTTCTCATTATCTCATTTTCAACTATATCACATTTAACATGAAAATTAACTGTTGTTTACCAGATTTTATTTCAAAGAAAAATCATTCCTGTTGGTGAACAAAAGCTTATCACTTAAAAGAAACATAATAAATTTCTGATTACATGATTTCTTTGCCCTGGGAACAACGGCCGAAGTTAGCATGCCAAAAGCAGCTTCAACTACGCTGTTTTTCTACCCCTCCATCTTCTTACGGCTGTCCTGCAAAGTCTGATCAAGATAGAGAACTTCATGGATTAGATATGAGCAGATACTCTATTGCCCAAACTGTATGATCATTGATTACCATTCAGTCTGCTGATACGGTTTTTGAGCTAGTGGAAGGCTGGGTGGGGAGGGAGGTGTAGCATAAGTACATTGTAATCAGGGAAGAAAGTACTATGCCCAGGTTGGTTCTTCACCATTAGTTTGTTAGCAGTGGCCTTTTCCTGACTTACCCTAAATCACTGTCTCAACCATGCAGCTGAACTGTGATTACAAGTGATGGGAACTTCACTCCTGCAGCTTTTCAATGTAGCCTTTAGGTAAATAAGTACCAGTGAATACTTTAACAATTTTCAGCAAGGTATTGCTTACACGTGTCTAGTGCAGTACCACGTTATTCTATTGACCCCAGTAATTCTGAACAAGCTACTAACACAGCTTTCAATCAGAGTAAGCGCTGGAAATACATTCAGCTATCAACATGCTGTGGTCTTCCTACAATTCCATTTCTACTTGAAATTTAGAAGAAAAAGCCCAACAATATCAAGTCCCAACATTCATTCACCCCCAATATGAAACCATCATGAAATTCCAACAGAAACAAGTCAGAACTTACTGAAAGAGGACAAAGGAGCAGAAGAGTTACCTAGCATTGTACCATCAGTGGCATTTAGCAGTTATGTCCTCATTCCACTGCTTCCACATCAATCTTCACAAAAACAAGAACTGCAGCTGCACAGCCACACAACATAGTAGGGAGGTGCAGAAGATGGCATGAGGCCTGCAGCCTTTACTCCTTTCAAGGCTGGATTTCAAGATGAGTTGGATCAATGTCCAAACAAGATTACACTGTAAAGCTGCCAGTGATACCAAGGCATCCCATCCAGCCCTATGCTCTCCTGATAGGTTTAAAACTGAGAGCCAAATCCAAACCCTGTGAAACTCGCCACACTAATCTGCAGGGAAATGCGTGGGACCACTGACTGTTTGCACAGTTTATAATAAGCCTAGTAATAAAACATCTGCAGTGCCTGAGTTTTGCTGCGCTTCTATTGCTCCGAACAGATCAGACATACTGCATTCAATGGCTTAGCTCAGTAAGCAGCGTTAAGGAGAAACGCAGCAAAACCCAAGCTATTCACAGCTTAACCCGCTCCCGTTTCTAGCCAAGGCTCCCCACACCCCAAACTCCACTTCTCCTGCTCTTAAAACGCCAAAGCAACCAGCGGGTTAGGCACGCTTTCAACACGGACCGGGTAAACAGGCAGAGCTGTGCGCTGCGCTGGCATTTACCTACATCCATCTCCTCAACCCCGCAAGAAGTTTGCAGTCGGAACGCAACAGGGAGAAGGAGAAATCACCCCCTCAACCCCTGAGGGGGCAGCGAGCCGCGGGGGTACCCTCCCCAGGCCGGCTCCCGAGAAGCGCAGCGCTCCCCCGCAGCGGACATTACCGAGCTTCCCCCGTCAGCCCCGGCGGCTGCCAGGCAGCAGCAGACAGCGCTCGGACCCACCGCGGCCGCTGCACTTCGTGCGCTCAGACCGGGCTGTGGCCAGCGGACCGCGGGGGGCGGCGCCGAGCCGGGGGCGGCCCCTCGCTGAGGGAAGGAGACAGTGAAGGGGCTGCACCGCCCCGGCCCCTCAGCGGCCCCCTGGCCGCCCGCCTCACCTGGGAGCGGGGCTACCGGCTCCGCAGCGCCGCCTCCGCCATGCCTCCCCGCGGCGGCGGGCACGGTACAGCCCTTCCCCGGGCGCAGGATGCTCCGACTGCGGCGATCGGGTTACGGCGGGCGTCGCCTTAAAGGGGCCGAGCCGCCGCCGCCGCCACCTGCCGCCGGGCTCCGCTCGCTGCCGCTGCCCCGCCCGCGCTCTCTCCACAGCAGTTCCCGCCGCCCCTCAGCGCGGCGGGTCCACCACGGCCGGGGCGAAGCGCTTGCGGCGCGGAACGGCACCATCCGGCAGCGTTCTCCTGTACAGGGGGCCCATTGTCTGCAGTGTGTGACGAGAAGGGCGCTGAGGCGGCCGGCCGTGCCCCGGGGAGCCGTGCGTGCGCTCCCTGGCAGCGCTGCGGAGCAGAGGGTAGCACCGGTCATGCGGAGAACAGGTAATGCGGATGTTCGCTGGTGCTAAATGAAGTGCTGTGAGTTTCGTCCGATTGTTTCTCATTTTATGGTTTTGAGCTGTTGGCAAAATTAAATGTGGTCATGGTAAACAGTTTTCTAACTAGAAAGCATAATTACAGAATCATGTAACGGTTTGGGTTGGAAAGGACTTTAAGATCATCCAGTTCCAACCCCCTGCCATTGGCAAGGACACCTTCCACTAGAGCAGGTTCCTCCAAGCCCCTGTGTCCAACCTGGCTTTGAACACTGCCAGGGATGGGGCAGCGACAGCTTCTCTGGGCACCCTGTGCCAGAGCCTCAGCACCCTCACAGGGAAGAGCTTCTGCCTTAGATCTAACCTGAACTTCCCCTGTTTCAGTGTTAACCCATCACCCCTTGTCCTATCACTATAGTCCCTGATGAAGAGTCCTTCTCCAGCATCCTTGTAGCCCCCTTCAGACACTGGAAGCTGCTCTGAGGTCTCCACGCAGCTTCTCTTCTCCAGGCTCAACAGCCCCAATGTTCTCAGCCTGTCTCCATACAGGAGGTGCTCCAGCCCCTGATCATCCTCATGGCCTCCTCTGGACTTGTTCCAACAGTTCCATGTCCTTCTGATGTTGAGGACACCAGAACTGCACATGGTGCTGCAAGTGGCGTCTAATGAGAGCAGAGCACAGGGGCAGGATCACCTCTCCCAACCTGCTGCTCATGCTCCTGTTGATGCAGCCCAGCACATGGGGGGATTCTGGGTTCAAGCACACACTGAAGCAGCTCATGTTCAGTTTCTCATCCACCAAGACCCCCAAGTCCTCCTTAGGGCTGCTCTGGATCACCATTCCTCTTGGCATGCTTCTACTACCATACGTGTCCTAAACCACCTCAATTTTCCATTAAGGTGTCCTGATCTTTCTGATAATTTAGGAATTCTCCTCTCTCAACATAACGTTGAAGGTGTTCATGTATATCCCACACTGGATTAAGCTGCAGCCAACAGAGAGCTCACCTACCCCAGCTATGTACACCAATCCCTCTTGCAGGATGCCTCCCATGACAGGAACACCGTGGCTTAAGGCTGAACAGAAACTGATGTTGGCTTGTGTCGAAGTGCCCGCCTGTGAAATGCAGAAACTCCAGTGCTGATTACTGCAGCATTGAGCCATTCCTGCTGCAGGAAGAGGATCCTGTGGGAGGTGGCAGGGCACACCACCAGCACGTGTAACTGAGTCTTGGCTTCATCTTGGCTCAGTCTATTACTGAACACAAATTGACTCCTGGGTAGGCATTCACGTGAATATTTGAGCTACTCAAGTTTGATTTCCTACAGGCTTGTGTCTTATAGCTGATCAGGTTGTAAACTGATCAGCAAAATTCCACAGGACATTCTCAGCTGAGTGAAGGAAGAGGTCGCATTCTTCTTCCAGTCTTCTTCCATTCCAGAAACAGATGGTCAAATAAAGGGAAAAATATCAACACAATTTGCTACTGAAATTGGGATAAAAGCCTCATCTTTGTCGTATCAGTTTATTCCTCATATAAAAGAAGATTTCAACCTATTTTCTATGTCTGCAGATTTAGTGAAACAAAACAGCCACTAAAACCCGAGAACTGCATGGGGGGATCACAAACCACTTTCAGGATGACACAAACTAAATATTCCATGAGAATTTTTTCTTTAGTAATTCACCTTCCAAAGAACAGTCCTCACTTTTTGCTTAATCCAATATCACTGACTTTGCAGTTTCCTTATGCATATTCCTTGCCCTCTTCAGCTGTAACAGCTATGACAATGGTCTTCCATATGGACCAGCAGTGGACCTGTAGGGTGCCAGAGGACCTGCAGTGGCCATGAGGGCAGGAATGATTGTTCTCAGTCCCACCGGTACAGGCAAGAACTCTTTCCACTCATGGTTAAGAACAAAAAGCTCTGAACAACAAGCTCTGGCAGATTTAGCTGCTGTGTTTTAAGATGTTGTTTCTTCCAACTGCCTGAGGTCACGATCACTCTAGTAGAGCACAACAGTGAAAGCAGGTAATTTTTAATATGCCAGCCTGTCACTTGGAGTCTCCACCATAAGAGTGTGGTAATACCTAGCAGCAGGGTAAAGCAGACACTTAAGAGTAGTAATGTCTTAAACTGAGCATATAACTTTGCTAGAGACCACCTATCAGAGCCGTAAGCCTCAAAATAACCCATCACCATTATGCACTTTCTGGTTAGGAAGCATCTAGAAGACAAAACAGACTTCCTTCAAACCTCCCTAACAGGCCTGTGTAGCACACAATCCTACCAAAGAATTCCTTCATCCTGGTGTGCTGCGTGGGTGAAACAAACCAGTCTGACCTGCCTCACTGCTCTCTCCTTGGCCCATGCCCAGCATGTTGTTGAGCACGCAGCAACAGATCTTGACCAGAGGCAATGCCATCTCTCAACAGCCCCCACCACACACAATGGGTTGAGCGCTGTTGACTGTAGAGCTGAGAATGGTGATGCACTGAGGACTCCTGCCTGGCAGCTGCTCTCCATGTGAGCATATGTCAGGATATTTCTCAAGATTTTGGGGAATTTGCTGCCTGTGGGGGTATGAAGGCCTTGCAGTAGAAGGGAAGCCTGTAGACATGGTTAGATATGGCTACCATAAGTCCAGGTTGCTTTAGACTGGTTATCTGTCCTCTTTTGCAATCAGAAATGCTCTCCAGAAAGATTTTGAGAATGGCTTGTATATCTGCTATACACAGATATCTAATAATCTTCTTAGATTGGCTGTTACTGCTTATATGCAACAACCTCACCTTGGATGTCCCATGTCCAGCAATCCCAATGAGATCCTCAGAGCAAACATTCAGAGCAAATACATGCCTGTATTGCATGTGCAAAGCAATTCCAATAAACAACTCCTACAAAGTGTTGTTTGAACTTTATCACACCATTACTTTGAGCATTTCCAGTAAGTCATGAAAGTGTAAGACTTACTGTACTTACATGATGCAAGCTGTGCACGTATTTCTGCACCAGAAATACAGTAGCTAGAGGGGAGGATAAACAGTCACCAGAGCAGTTATCACAGCCAGCTGGTTGCTGTACAGTGACCACAGTTTGGCTTTCATAACTAATACACCTTTTCCTCTCTCCCTTCCGATTTGCAGCCATCTTTTTTTCCAGCAGCTGCAAAACAAAGTTGCCACCACTAAAGGATAACTGTCAAGAACTTCCTCACAACAAACACTATTTCTGAAGCCAAGCTTCATCAGGGCAGGGAAGTACAGGCAATGGGCTTGCTGAGGTGAGGTGTGGAACAGAGATTTAGGAACACAGGGCAAAACATAAAATTATATTCCATGTTGACAGATGGCACATATCATAGAATCACAGAACCACAGAATGTTTTGGGTTGGAAGGGACCTTAAAGCTCATCCAGTTCCAACCCCCGCCAGGGGCAGGGACACCTTCCACTAGAGCAGGTTGCTCCAAGCCCCTGTGTCCAGCCTGGCCTTGAACACTGCCAGGGATGGGCAGCCACAGCTTCTCTGGGCACCCTGTGCCAGGGAAGAACTTCTGCCTGAGAGCTCATCTCAGTCTCCCCTCTTGCAGTTTAAAGCCACCCCTGTTGTCCTATCACTACATGTCCTTGTCAAAAGTCCCTGTCCAGGTTTCTTGCTGGAAGCTACTTTAAGGTCTACCTGGAGTCTTCTGGCTGAACAAGCCCGGCTTTCTCAGCCTGTCTCCATGGGAGAGGTGATCCAGCCCTCTGATTATGTGCTGAAAGACCATAGGGAAGGTAGAGAAGACATGGAAGTGTCACAGTAGCATTCACAGGTAAGAGCATAATTCTGTTGACTTCAGCTGAATCATCTTATTTACATTATGTAAAAGAAAAACTGGGCTCTGCTCTTCATATATGCTTTAATTACAATTAAACATCTTGGTTCTATTGATGATTTTCAGCTTCCTGCTAATTAGGCCCAGGAATTCCATAAAGGAAGGACAAACTCTGCTGAAATGGATGGGGTCTGCTAAGACGGGTGTAAAAGAGAAGGTAGCTCAACATAAATTACTTGAAGTCCGTAGTAATCCACCCTCAGCCAAGCTGTACACTCCTGCTCCATACCCTTCTCCTTCTGTAATTACTTGCAGGGTGGCACTTTAGGTATGGTAGAAATTTGTTGTCAGATGACTGCTTGTAACTCCCCCTAAAATCTGTGAGAGGGATGTGACCATGAATAGAAAACTACACAGCACCCTTTCCTAAGTACAGCTGTAATTTCAGAACCATGCTTTCTCAGAGCTGAGCCTACTTCTGCCAAGAATGAAGCCTTTCTCATGACTGCTGTGCTCAAAAGTGAGACACTAAAATACTTTTAGAGCATTTGAAAGTTATTTCAGCTGTGGTTTTGAGCTTACACAGGATGCAACTAACCTGTCTGTCTGAATTTACCAACGGCAGTAAGAGTAGAGTTTTAATGAATGGTGAAAGCCTGATGAGTTTATGAAAGAAATTACATAACGTGGTGGTGTAGCAGCAGTAGATTGAACTCAGTGACCTAAAAAATGCTTGGATTTATTTCTGTCTCAAGAAGTTCCGAGCTCTGCCTGTCAGCATCAGGAGATATTCCCAGAAAAATCAATTATACATGTAAGCAAAAATATCACAGAAAGAAAGAACATATGAAAGAGCAAGCACAATTGTCCTTTCACA